TTTGCGAAGAAATAGAGTGCGCTTGTAACACCACTGGTCGAAAACTATGTTCATTATCCCACTGAAAATGATCACAGTTGATAGAAAAGTGACAACGGGTAACTCTAACCTGTTTGGTTTGTGTAAAAGGATAAACAACTTTGGGAAAGTAAATTGGGTCTATTTGGAAGAAGGTAATGTTCACCTTAGAAAAGGCGAAGCTTCAAACAATGATGAGGTAAATTAGAACGGTTGGTAACCGCTTAGTCTAAAAGAGAATTTCTTTGTGTATAATGCAAAACGCTTATCCACTTAAACAGAATGCTGTCAGGAAGAATGTGGAAGCGGGGTTATAAATGCAAACAGTTGTGCGTAATCAGCTTGTCAACAAGGAGGCCATAAGCAGAATACGCGTCCAGAAACGAGTAAAATTCACGCTGGGAAAATGAGATAAAAGTATACAAATTTGAGACAATAACAATGAGGAGATCGATGAACATTCCGCGCAGCATTCTACGGGAGGCCAAACACTGATGTGATAAGAATACGTCAAAGTACCTCATATTTGGTACACAGTTTGTAAATCGGAAATGGTTTGCTTCCGACAAGTTTTTCGACATTGACGAGGCCGACTGAAGTCACAACACATGGGCGTTCAACCACGAGATTTTTGCACACAAAACACTTTTTTGAACCAAGGAAGGAAGATAACAGATTCCACTTGCCACCAACAAAAAAAACATGATTTCAAGTGCGTAAATATAAAGAACTTCCCTAAGGTTTTAGCAAGAACATAAAAAGGAAACTGATTTTGGTGGAAAGTATCCATAATAGCACCTGAAAATTTAAACGAAATTACCGTTGTCTTCAAACGTTTACATTTGTATGCCTGTTTACTGGGAAAAAAACAAGCGTGATTGAATCATTGGGTCAAATGAAGAACACATTGTCAGTCAAGGACCGAAGGTAAACGAGTTCGCTTCTAAAAATCTCCATACCGCGGTTCACATCATGTTCAACCACCATGGCATGACAAAGATCGTGTCTCAGTTCATTATTTAGTTTGGAGCGAGGGTCAGGCCAGTGAAGTGTGGCCACCAGTGTTTTTCGCATTACCCAATGCATGATATTGTGGATGGTGAAAATAACAAGTTTTTGTTTCCCCTACTCTCCAGGTATATTTTCTCACACTGACAAGGCAAACGACAAAACGGTCACGACGTGTGCAGTTAATGCGCACATTTGAGCTCAGCTGATATTTCGTGTGTACCTTTTGAAAACGCGTTAATTCTTGTAAAGTGTTTTCACATTTTTAACACAGACGTATTTCTATTATTTGCAATAGCATGCAGGGCGATCAAGTAAATTTTGTCATTTTTCACAAAACTGAAACTATCGTGTTCATATCAGGACCAGAAAAACCCCATACCTGAGCAAATAAGACAGATATCACTATGTATTGATGTATTTATGTAATATGTATGTAAACGCAGCACTAATTGAAATGGTTTTAATACACACTTCGGTATAACGTAAATTAGAATGGTTGTGTACGATAGTCGAACCGAATTACTCTCCTCATGTGGTAACCGGTAACGTAAGATAAAAGACCTACAGTGGTAAACTGCATAATGCCTCATTAAGATAGACGTACTAAGGAGCCAGTCCTCAAGTCGGTCGGCAGAAAGAAAGGCTATAAGCTTCCGACAATTTTGATCCACAGCATGCCGTTTGGCGTATCTTAATCCGCTTTTGGATATTGGAGGTGAGAAATAGGGAAACAAATTGCGATATCCTTCAGATTCTCCACTTTCTACAGCATGGATTTGCCGAAATAAAACGTAATTTTACTTATCCCAGGTAACGCGGTAATAAGACAATACACAAAAGTTACAGGATCATATACGTCGGTCAGATATTTAATCGATTTTTGTTCCTCCGCAGCAACTTACAACAAACCTCCTGTCTATTTAATTCTACTTTGAGTGGGGATGTGAGAAGAGACTTTACAATTCAGTATAATCATCGACAGAAGACCCGATAATTCGGCTCGCTATGAAGTTCTCAGTCGGCAATTTTGAGTGGCTTCCTATGGCGGTGGAATCCCAGTGTTTTCCTCTCTCATTGTGTATCAGTTATGCTGCGACTATATTTTGATTGTTTGAAGGAATATTGAAAAACTTGTATTACAATGTAATGCAAGACAATCAGTTCATTGTAAGTGTACTACTGTCTCGTGGATTGAAAACTCAGGTGAATCTATACTATTTCACAGCAACGTATAACGCAAGCTATTTACGGTGGCTCCGAACTAAACAGATTTGATGTAGACTTCTAAAAGACAATTTTAAAATGGATGATGATGACGTTTGCGTTTTCACAATTGATGAATACATTTAGAGAATTTAAAAAATAGGTGTGTCGAACATGTCACCACTTCAGTTGATTCTTACGAAAATAACTGGTTTGTCCGAAACATAAGTGAATGACTCAGATGACCTATAAAATTGCTTTTAGATTTACATCGCGTAAGCACCCCACCTCATCCTTGACCTGTTCTGAAGTGTGACTCCTCGTAGCTCGATATAACGATTTTTCCCTAGAATCGATGGAAAACTCGTAATATGCGAGTATTAAATCCTCGCGTAAAACATATATTTGCTGAGTCTCGTTCGAACTTCGGAAGATTCGAATGCAACCCCCCCCCCAAAAAAAAAAAAAGTTAAAAAGGCAAAATTCCTTGCTTATGATGTGACTGATTTGTGTACTGGGTTATCGAATCGTACGCCCACATTTCGTCACGTGGACGTGAACAGCTAACTGGATATATGAGGTAACCGGTGATCGCGAATCAATGCGTGGTTAAATAACCTTTTGTAAGTCAAGTTGTCCCAATATCATATCAAGATATCCTTGGATTACTTCAAGCTGTCGCATTGACCTCACCGGTGTTGACAAGCCTCTTAGCAATGTCTGGATGTTTGGATGCAACATCGACTTCTATACCTCCCGTTGAAGTGCGAGGGACGATTGTGGAACGAGCTTCAATCACACACACCTCAATTCTCATGACATACATAACGGTTGTTTATCTTGCTGGTACGCTTACGGCTCTGCATGTGTGATTGTGTGTTTGTTCCCCTCCGCTGATACCAATGAATCATGCACGATCAACGCTTGAGCTATTGCTTACCTCCATTGCGTGATGTTGCAGTAAAATTCATAAGCTACACCTCAAGCGGCTGCACTGGGACGCCAATAGATCATGCTCGATCGATATACACATCAGTATTGACCGGATTCACATCCAGTTTGTTCGACACTTTCGGGTCATAATCCATCTCGTTGGCGCCACCACAGCATATTTAAGCACTGGACAATCAAAATGACCATTTGGCCATATTTTTGGGACGGAATGAGATATCTCTATCAAATTAACTGCAATAGAAATAACGTAACGAGGGCTTTAGAAAGATGCCATAATTTTCATAAGGAATGGGATTTTAGAAGAAAATACAAGTTCAAAAATTTGAGTGTTTCCAAAATGCACTTTTCGGATTATGGGCTCTGAATTGAATAATCTTTATCGCTGAAATCATACAGTATTACTTAAAAACCTTCACACAAAGTAAACCTGGAGAATATAGATTAACATATGACATTCACAAGCCGTAAGTACAAACTGTTTTCGAACAACCTATTGCCATTGTCGCACTTCTCGATTCAGTTTCGCTATGGGAACAACACCGTGGTCGTTCTTAGAATAAGGATTACCTAAGCCATCAATCAGANTCAGAAAATCCAGCTACAAGCATACGAGACAAACGTGCCGGTCACTTGTGAGCCACAACAGATTTATAATCTATGTACCACGACAATATGATGGTTGTTATGAGAACAAGTTCCAGAATAAACCCATCGGAACATTAGAACAAAAGTCCGAAGGGGAACAGTTGTCTTCGAACAATTTATAATCATATCTGTTCAGATCTTATAAAGTTTTATTTTTAGTGGGGACGAATTTGTACGTTCCCTAATCGATTCGGTTTAAGTTACAAGCGGAAGAGAGCGACAAATTGTGACACTTCCCCGAAAGGATATCGGTTCCTTAGAACGTCAAAGACATACAAAACTACCTTGGACTGGGCAATGTACGAACTGTTACAGCTTTGTTCCACTCAGACAGGAAAGAAAACTGATTCAGAGTGTCATATCACGAGCCTGCAAGATTTACTCGGACGATGTGTTAAATGACGAACTAATAAAATTTAGGACGTTCTCAGAGAAAATGGGTATACTGAATGGTTCATCGAGAGAAACTTTCAAGAAAGGTCACTATGCGAACAGTTTGAATATGCTCAGAAGATAAAATTAATAATGCGGTAACCTTTTACAGTAGTTGCCGTATCGAACCTTGTGAACAAACGTCCAACGTCTCTGGTGATTTGCTCCTTCCGTAATGTAAAATAAACTGCCCGCAAGGCGAGACCACTATCCCATGAAATTAGACTAGAATCAGCTTTTAGTTTAATCTATGAGTGCCCCCCCTCCGGGCCAAAGCCCATAAGGTAGCCAATAAGGCTTACACTTACTGGCTGCCGCTGAGGCGATAGGCATTCGCCTTTTCTTATCAGAACTATGCGCACAAAAGCGACTGGTTGAAACTCTTCACTTGTCCTGCCACTACGCCACACCCCCACCCGGATGGATCGCCAACATCACCACCACCGCGAACACTCCAATCATAGTCGATCTCACCCAAACACAGACCAACAGTGTGCACCCCATCCCGAATAACACTTCGACCCAGCTTGCAAATGTGACCACCCTTATATGATCTGTACAGATAGTACTTTGAACCACCGGATAACAATTGTTCGCCTTCGGATTTGTGTTCTAATTAGGCAAATCTAGTTCATCTGGTCCCACTTTCTCTGAAACATGAGTTAAAGCGAATTCATCATCCACACACGCGGAAACAAATGATGCTCGGGTAGGGTTATAGCAACTGATTGGTCCAAATGGAACCAATCAAAAAGTCGGATATAAAAACTGGTTTAAAGGGGCAAACCAATGCGTTAACTCTTATTAGTCTTACGATTCTCACTGCTGGGAACATGCACCTGCTCAGTGTACTGGTACAAACCCAAACGATCAGTATTCTGATCTATTTATCAAATGTTATATTTCGCCAATGTGAGACAGTCTGTCCGGTGGATTTTTTGGACGCGGGAGAAGGTGTATGTTTACTTCGTGTAGCACGTGAGGTAACATACTATGAGGCGCATCAAATCTGCGAGCAGGAGGGTCAAAAACGTGGTCTACGACTATTCATACCAGGACGAAATGCGCCAAAAATGCTCCCTTATTCTTCCAGTTTGTTGGTGTTCACGGGCTATAACGCACTGTTAAATCGCTCTGTGAATCTTCGGGCCGGCTGGCGAGTTACCGATCCGGGTTTCGCCAGCTTTGTCACAACAGCCTCGGATACCACGATCCGCTGGTCAGGTAATGAACCAAACGGTCAGCGAGAGGCCATCTCGGTATATTATTACGGTTGGCATGTGGATGACATCCCCGAGATTTACCATGCGACTGACGTTATTTGTGAAATTTCCTCATTCTCAGCACAGGGAGTTGTGGAACGATTTGAGAAGAATTGGCCGTACCAGTTGAATTCACTTTTTCTTCAAGACAGCTCCATTGCTGGCAGCTTTCAGATGTATGTAGTATCGACCACGTTTTCCTGTCTCGTGCGGTACGTCAACAGATAATTGTGATTACGTTTTAATTCCCTGTTTGCTATACCACCCTCTAAACTACGCGCTGTGACGATAATGATACTTAGAATTGCGAGTTACAACTATCCGACCGAAAAAAAAACCAACATACAAATAGATGAGGTGAAAATTTGTCTACCAACGGTTCATGGAAACCGTTGTGTATAAACCGCTAGATTTCTCGTTTTAAGAATTATCTGAAGGGACATTATTTTGAAATTTAACGAATCACAAGTAATTCCTACCGGTGTGTATAGCTTACCATATCCATCGGTAATGTAATGGGTAATGCTGCGAATTTGGCTTCCCTCAGATCAAACCAATGTGGAGCTGGCCTAATAAAGCCAAGATGTTCACTCATCTGTTAATTTCTAGTCCTTCAGAATGCACTTTCAGTCATGGCACTATAATAATCGCTTTCTCAATGATAGATTGGGAGAAGANATGAATTCCCCCGGGGATCAATTTGAACAAAGTCCCTGAGAGATTTTCGGGAACTCATATTTCTTTGATGTATACTAGTCATATCCTATAGCATCACTTACTGGTAGTCTGTCCTAGAAGACCATACAGAATAAAAAGCATGGTGTTTACGGCTAACCCATGACCTAAATGCCAAGATCATGCGAACAGCCGATGTGATAAGCGTCGGTTTCAGTGGAAACGGGGGTGCGTTTGCACAGCTCACCTCACATTTAGCCGTTATGGTTAAGCACAAATTACAAAGAGAGAAGCGTTTCTAGTCAGGTCGTGGGAAGAATAGTTTTTCCAAAGTTCTATGTTTCCATAACAATGAGAGGTTGGTTATAGTTCTGACACTGAAATACATCCCAGAAGCCTGTTCAGTAATCCCTGACATTATCATTGCCGCCATATAGGGAAATAAAAAAGGAAAAGCACTTCACCGATCGCCGTCAAAGTGACGGTTGGCACAAACTAATTACGAATGCACAAACAAAAGAATGCAATGTGGACTCCTTTTCGAGGAAGGCAAAGTTAAACTGTGTTCAACATATAAGCAACCTTTTACTTGGCAAGAGAGTATCACCTATTCTAACCAACCGCTCTTCACATCTCTAAGTATTCGGTTGGCTTCCGCAGTATCCTCACTTACCAGGAAATCAAGTGAAACAAGCTGTCTCCTAATCGCAAATTCAAGGTCGCAGACGTAAAACACTACTGACTGTGCGGTGGAACAATATGCCCGACCTAACAACTTCAGTGGAATGTCAGAGACTCCAGGTGGAGTTCTACTACTACGTACGACAATGAACCTTGAAACTACTTGTGGTAGTAGACACTGAACCGCGAACCTTACAAGCCCAAACACTTCAGGATCAGGTAGTATGAATCAACTTAAACTCCGTCAACATCACCAAAATCTGTAACAATGTGTTGATTCAATCTAGGTTTGGGGGGATAAACAAATAATTAGATGGTCACACGTAACCCGGGGTCATCAATTGCAAAACACCTCAAGACAGATAAACAAATAGTCCGGGATGTTCTGTTCCTACATAACAAGAACAAATAAAAACGTACATGGTATGTTTGCTTACTGAACATAAAAATTGAAGTCTATTTCTGAAAAAAAACATATTTAGGTTAACCGAATGACGAGAGAGGTAATGTAGAAACTAGAACAATGGGTGGTGGTAGTGACCGGATTCGAATACACGATTTCCCGGGACACTATTAAGATAAACGATAAATCGCTTGGCGACCGAACACGGGGTCTCGTTAGCCTCACAGATTCTGTATAGCTGTTTGCAATAAATAATAATAAATAATAAAATAAATAATAATAAATAATAATAATAAATAAATGTTAGAAAGTCACAGGGACTGGACTGCTTGCTTTCGGCTATATGTGTTATGGCATTGGTCGCGGAAGAAACTAACCTCATATTTCATGTTCATGTTTTATAGACTACTATTCATTCTTCACAAACGTGTGAATGGGCCACCCAACTGCTGAATTTCTCTTCGAAATTTTCACAAGTTCACGATCTCATCCTGAAGGATTAACTGTTTCCCTCGAGTTGATAAATAGAGACAAGTGATCGATATTTGCCAGTCGGATACAAGAGAGCGTTATCTGCATGATTGTGTTAGACTCGTACATCGTTTTCACGATGTAATCTTGGAAATACGGATGATATTTGCTGATCTTTTCCAATGATAGAACAGACAGTGTTGATGCCAATGAATTTTGTTTGTCTTTTTCATCCATTACTTGATTTATTTTAATTGAATATCTAATGATACAATTTTTCACGAGGGCGGAAACGGCTTGTTAGAAGGTTGTCATACAGCATACAGATAACAGATATGGTCGGGCTATGCTGTCATGACTCAAACTCACATCCTCCGGGGCTCTAAATTTTGAACCTCGACTGCGTAACCCCTTCCAATCATAGTGTTTTTCTTCAATTTCACCAATTCTCAACCGTTCATTTCGGAGTCAGATATTTTGAGGAAATATTTTATCGATTTAAACTGACTATCTTTCGTAATTCACCTTCACGCGCAATCCTCAGTTCACGGAAGCACTAGACTCGAGTTTTGCTCTTATTAGAGCTTATCAGTAGTGCATATCCACTGTCCCGTCCGGGATTTGAGCTCCGGACCCATCGCACGGAGGGTGGGTGCGTTTCCACCGTGCTAACCAGCTCATACCATGGCTGAATCAAGTTGCCAATTCATGCTTGTTTCAGTTGTAGTCTTTAGTGATACTCAATCAGTTCATTTGGCCCGTCAGCAACGAAGGGTGACAGCTGACAATTTGGTAATTTCAATCGAAAACCGCCGACCGAGTCAGGACTTCCATACAGGTTACAGGCTGATTTACCAACGAACCTAAAAATCATCTCATACAGCTACTCACAATTAACTGCTAGTTGAATGCGAGGAAATACTTTATTGTGTTTTTATTAATTCAATAAATATCGTTCTCATTCTGGTCTATTGATCCAGATTAGGTGAATGAACGGATAACGGCTGATAACAGGTACTGATATCCCACTCTCACCAAATGTATGATGCGAAACTTTTGTCTGTTGCAGCTGCAAACTGAGCCTAGTCTGTCGCGCTGTGTACTTTCATTCGGACACAAAACAGTGCTGGATGGCACTCTATGTGGATTCTCTGCTGCCTTCCAGACTGTCAACGATGACACCAACGTGGACGCGATTCGCGAGACCCGATTGGTAGTACTGCTCTCGCACCCACGCACGCACACAAACATCCAAATCTGCCTCGAAAAATTCGACAGATGATATTTGGCAACCCCTGATTGCCGCTATCGGCGATCCAGTAAGAAGTATCCTCATCATTCTTGGACCTGTTAATTCGTACCCAGCAGTTATTCGTTACAATGATTTAACCATCATCATCATCACACTGTGTCTACGTTTGTATTTTCATTATATTGAACATGGTATCGATTTTTGTATTTACGTAATAACCCTTCGAGTTGTGACATATTTGTCGTTTATCCCATCGGAAATTTCGAATATGACTGGAAACGGGAACAGGACTGAGGTATCGGACGGCTCAATTAACGGTCGTTTATTATGTTATTCGGTTACGACTAACTGAATGTTTGAAAGAATTGTTGCATGCAAATATAATATCGAACGGTAAAAAATGACAAGGCATTGCACGATTGATATGGTTTGATTTAATACGGCCTTTGCTCCCCTGAGATATTAACGTGGGTGGAGCGCCAGTTTGATGGCACTGATTACAAAGCAGCCTAGCCAGAGCGTGAAATTAGATAACTGTTACGACTACAAATCACCTGGTTGAAAACACAGTACGAGAAGACAACGGCTGCAACCTGATATTCCATAATGACGGGATACGTTTTTCGATCAAAAACGGCATACACTGCTCAGTTTTATCCGTTTATCGTTGTTAGTTTACATGCTGTGATCGAAATCACCTGAACTACGAAAAGTGATATGAAGATTTGGCATATCATGCGGTGTAATTTGGGATGTAAGTAATTTTCATGTTTCGGTAAGTGGGAACGGCAGAGTAACCGGTGAACACATTGTCGTTTTATGAACGTTTGCGGATGACATCTGAATATACTTTGGTGAACAAAGTTAGCGAACAAAATGTATCAAATACTTCTGCCCCCTTTTTGACCATTGAATCACAAGATTCAGGATTGCTTTATTTTGAAAAAGGATTTTCAAAGATGATATTACAGGATAAAAGTCACCTTCTAATGGAATGATAAAGGTAAGGTAGTAAATTGAGATACGGTTTATTGTTTGATCTGTTGCCAATTTCGGAGAGTAATCTCATAGAAGGTTTTTTTCTGATCAGAGTGCTCATGAGCATAGGAGCAGAAAGATCCGGAAAGAAACGTCAACAATGAGAGGAAAAAATACAGTGATAAAATTCTTCAACTTCTCACTTTCGTTCAGGGTTGCAAACAGGATCAAGGGCTAAACTGATCGCTGCAGGTCATAGTTCTGCCGATGTTTTGGTTATGAAACAGAGTAATTATCAGCCAGGTCTTTCGGTCAACTCATAATGTGAATAGTACTTAGAACAGTCAAACGCATTTGAGTATAGACTGGATAAGACAAAAAAACATAATAACTAACCAATAAGACAGATGAGAGTACTGTCCCTATACACTTAATCAAAGCGGATCAAAACCGATAAAACATCAACTGTCTAGTCAAGTTAAAATAACCTTTTAGTCGTCTATGAAGTACCAGCGAAAATACCGTTCGCATGTCTACTTTGGTGTGCACGTAAATAAGAGCGAATCAGTGCTGCCCTATTCCGAAGAGCGAGAACGTATGATAGAAGAAGAAACTGTGACTATCATTACACGGGATTGTGTCTCATTTCGATCGATACATCAAATTAAGGGTCCTGTAGGCTTAAAAGGGACAAAACGTTGATAGATTACATAATTTCCCGTCCATGTTTTCATTATTGCGCCGTGACAAAAAAAATATGAAGAAGCG